TAATAACCGTGTTACCAGTATGGGGTTCCTCCCGGTTCGGCCTGGTTCTGCTGAGCCGGTAGCAGTGATGATATGACATCACCAAACCAGTTCTGCCCCCCTGTGTTATTCTTACCTTTTATTTGGCCCCACCCCCAATCTTTTGCTGCCTCCTGAGTCCCAGCTGATGGCTAGAGGGAAAAAAACTGTTTAAACTCTTACCGCGGGCTTCAAAGGGCCACCCTACAGCTGATCAGTGTTAAAAGAAAACAAATGAGTAGACCAGTGCCTACAAAAATACATGAGTAGATCAGTGCCTGCAAAAATAAATGGGTAGACCAGTGCTTGCAAAAATACATGAGATCAGTGCCTGCAAAAATAAATGGGTAGACCAGTGCCTGCAAAAATACATGAGTAGATCAGTGCCTGCAAAAATACATGAGTAGATTAGTGCCTGCAAAAATAAATAGGTAGACCAGTGCCTGCAAAAATACATGAGTAGATCAGTGCCTGCAAAAATAAATGGGTAGATCGGTACAGCTCTGCAAGCAGTTAAAAGCCTGGTAGACCAGTACCTCTGCTAAATCCTAAATAATTGTCACATGACCATCAAGCCACGCCCACAAAATAAGCCACCCCCAGAGAACCGATAGTAAAAAAATTTAGAACCCACCCCAGCGTGTTACTAATGTAACAACTGCAGTGATTCACTTAATAACTGTGCCAAGAAAGGTAATAAAATGGGGCAAAACTGGCTTATCTGTCTTGCTTAGCAATGGAAAATTTGTACTCAACTGTGGTCCTAAATTGAGGACTACCTGTATTTCTATATGGCAAATAAATGTGAACTTTGCATTCAATAACTGGTGTGCCCTCCTTAGACAGCAACAAGTACAACTAAATGTTTCTGATAACTGATCACTCCTGCACATAAGCTTGGAGAAATTTTAGCCCAATACAACACTTTTAGCTTTGGGATGTTGGTGGGCTTCTTCACATGAATTACCCGTTTCAAGTCCTTCCAAAAGATTTCAATAGGATTAAAATTAGGATTTTAACTTGGTCATTCCAAAACAATAATAAAAAATAAATGCACATACATACTAAATACATAAATAAGCCACATGCTAAGATGGGGAGGGCAAGGGAAGCATGGGGGGAGGGATCTGTTTAGTTAATCAATCACTTCCACTATGATGCTCTCCTACTGAAGCTCACAGTTGTATCAATGATGACAAATAGTTGTGATCTACCACATTTCACAGATTGGGTAAATTCTTATGCTGGAATGCAGTGTTTGTCTTTCACCAAACATAATGCTTTTCATTCAAACTCCAGAATTCTATTTTGGTGTCCATCTAGAGAATACTCTTCCAATAACTTTCTGGCTTATTCACTGTGTCTTTCACAACCTGACAATAGCAATGTTCTTTTTTAAGGGCAGCACCATTTCTTGGTCCATTCTCCCATTGTCTTTCCCACATACTATTAGTTCCTTAGATATTATCCTGAGGTTATTGGAGATCTCCTGGAATACCTTGCTCTTGGTCTGATTTTGATTGATTGATTGACTAGTCCTGGGAAGGTTTATCATACTGTTACTGTTGCCTCCATTTGTACAGTATCTGCCTGAAAGACGACTGGTAGAGTATAAACACTTTGACAATAATTTATAAGCTTTTCTAGCTTCGTGAGCATCAACAACTGTTTTCAGAGGTCCTCAGAAATCTCCTTTGTTAACTGTGCTGTAAAGATCAGACTTTGAAAGTGAATATCCAGAATTTTGTTTTTTTTAATGGCAGGTTCTCTCACATTCATACCTGACTATCATCTCATTGTTTGAAAACCTGGATTCTAACTTCCTCTTCAAATGAATTAATAATCGTAGAGGTTTACATACTTTTCCCACATACAAATATGTAGCTTTGAATCATTTTCCTCAATAAATAATTAAATACATAAGTCTAATGTTTTGACTTGTTTATCTAATTTGGTTCTCCTTAGGTAGTTTTAGGACTATTGTGGGAAACAGATTACATTTTAGGTCATATTTATGCAGAAATGTTGAAAATTCCAAATAGTTCACAAACTTTCAAGTACTACTGTAAATGGGACCTCACCACAAAATGCCATGATTATAACCTAGTTTGGGAAATTGAGAACATTTCCAGGAAGAAGGCAGTAACTGATGCCCTCTGTATTACTATGAAGAAGAATACATAGATGTGACTATACACGCACCACAACCTGGATTTACCTTGAGAGAATTTTCCCTTACTCTTATAGTTGTTGATTTTATTAATTTATTGCAAATGTGTACAGATAATCCTTGACTTACAACAGTTCATTTAGTGACTATTCAAAATTACAATGGCACTGAAAAAAATGACTTATGACCATTTTCACACTTACAACCATTGTAGCATCCCTACAGTCATGTGATCAAAATTTAGAAACTTGGCAATTGACTCATATTTATGGCGGCTGCAGTATCTCAGGATCATATAATCTTCTTTTGTAACCTTCTTTTTTAACAACCGTGTTACTATCTTAACTGCAGAAATTCACTTAACAACTGTGGCAAGAAAAGTCATAACATGGATCAAAACTCACTAAACTGTCTCATTTAACAAAATATATTTTAGGCTCAATTGTGGTCGTAAGTTAAGGACTACCTATATTTTTCAGATAGTCTAAAGCAAAAAACAAAGATTCAATCTAATGCATAATGATTCTTATCTGAAGAGTGAGCTATCTGGAAAAATGTGCTAAATCAGAGAGAAAATACGGCTCATATAAAAATTTGCAAACAAATACTATATTTGTATTCCCAGACCCACTGAAAGACCTTATTTTGGATTTAAACTTGAAGCATTGAAGTTCTTGATATGGTACTAAATTGTAGCTCAGTAATATTTAGAAAATCAGTAAAAGAAGGAATGAAAGGGAAAGCAAAATAGAACTACTGTCCTTCCTCATTGCTACAGGCTTTACCTAATTTATATCAAAATAAATTATTTTTGAATGATCTTCCTGTACTGTCAGGTAAGATACGAGACTGTATTCCAGTCAATGAATATCAATGGGAGATTAGGAAAATCTGGTTTCAATTTTCAGGGCTTCAGTATTGGAAGTTTAGAAATATACAAGCAGCTAAGGAAATAAACAATGCAGAACTGAATTGCTGGTATCTTTTTTTTCTGAACTCATATTCAAAAATTAAGCTCATAAGCATGGAAAGTAATGTTTCAAATATCAGAAATAGAAAACTATAGTTTGTCATTACAGAAATTAACCTCATATGCTCCTTACCCTTTCCTTTCAGCAAAAGGGAAGAAAACTGAATTAAAACAATACCCTATTAAACCAAATGTGATAAATTATGGTTTTAGCAAATCAAAATTTCAAACCAAGATAAAATTATCATTTGAAACTGTGGTTGTAGGGCAAATATGATTAGTACAAGCTAGCAAAAAAGTATGCCAGGATATAAATGATTTTTTTCTCAACTTTGAGAATCTTCATCTCCACCATTACAGATTATCATCTTTGTTGACAATAGTTGTATTCTAAATTCACAATAGTTGATTGCAGAAAAGCAAAGCTGTTGCTACAATTTTATTTTATTGCTATTTATTTGATTTACAACACATATTTTTAACGGTGAGAACTTCAGGACAGCATAACATATGTCACGGATATTATAAAATTAAATGTATTTAATTTTTTACAGAATAGTAAAGTGAATATTAAAGAAAATTTAATGGCAGCCACATCACATTTTGGGATAGCAAAAGAACAAGATTCTGAAGTTCCCTTAATCCTCTGACTAACTGAATACATAAATTTTCTATTTGTATTACATTGTTATTTTTCTTTTAGTTCTCTACTCCTCAAAAAACTAAGAAACTGCTTCAATTTGTTAAACCGGGAGAAGTTTATGAAAAACATAACAACTTTAGCGTTACTAATTTCTGTAGTTCAGAAACTGAAGCAAGGAAATGGTTAAATCACTTACACATGATAATAATCAAAATCCCCAAAAAGCTTCTGGAATTTGGTCCTTGTGTATCCTATTCTTGCAGATAGTTTCAGAAATCACAATATCAATATCGAGAGGTCCATGGTGCTCTCTAAGCTTGAGTCTTTTCTTGCAGATGTTTCATTACCCAAGCCAGATAACATCATCAGTGCTAGTAAATTGCTCTCAACCCCACTCTTTACTAGCACTAATGATATTACCTAGTTTGGGTAATGAAATGTCTACAAGAAAGCATTAAACATACTTCCTTTCAATCCTGAACTAAAATATTATCCTTTATTAACATCAGTATTGTACAATATAAGGTAAAGAATGGAAAACCACTCATGGATTCTTCAGTCAGAAGTCACAACCCTGTGATCTGTTTTATTTTTGTACTTCCCTTTACCTGAGTTTCTATTATCAATTGTTTGAAATATATTTGCTAAAAGGTATACGTTTATAAAATAAAATGACCAACACACAAACGCACATTCAGAGACTTATTTTGGAAACAATCAGGATTTTTAGTGTTACAAGTATGTTACAACCTCTTTTCTGACTAAGAATAAAATAAAACTGTTCCGGCTTTATTTTCAATATCAGTGTTTCATGCCTTAAGAAACTTGAGACACAAGTTTTAGGGAGTCCTTGTAATAATTCATAGTCTTCCAAAATACTATGTATCTGTGCATTAACTGAATAAATATCCATGGCCTTAGACTATCTAAGCAATATTGTTATTTGTGTAATAGTTCCAATTTTGAAGTTTTGAAATTTTGAGTTTTGAAGCTTTAATTTAAATCTGCAAAGTAACAAATATTAAGTTACAACTGTTTGTCAAAAATAAAACTGTTACATCTGACAATTTCTATCTGCAAGAAATAAAAACTGCCAGTTTTCAAGTTAAAAAAATGTGAGAAAGGCAAATCTTGCTGAAATAAAAAAAGACCCACTCTTCTCCTTTCAGAATGCATAGGAATTGTGCCCGCACGCTTACCAGGACAGTAGGCATCAAGATCCAGTTTTGGTGTTGAATTGAGTGTTGGTGAGCCAAGCTCAGATTCTGGAATTCGGGGGCTCTCAACAAATTTGGCTTTCCTTAATGGAGCTTAAGAGAAAAATAGAAAAAAAGGACATGAATGTAAATGAATGTGAATGTACAGCAATGGCATATGAAATCAGTTCAGCTCCACTTTCTATTTATTTTTTATGCCTAAAGAAGGAACTATCCATTTTATAGAAAAGATATGGCTTACATTAACAAATTTAAACTGCTGCAAATGCCTCTCACAATTTCTCAAAATATCTAGGTAAAGAATTATTCATATTTATTATGTTCAGTGAGCTTTCATTGTTAATATGTGCCAGAATTTCATTACATAAATGGTGCATTTTGTATAGCTATACTTTCTTTGGACCAATTATGCAAATAACACACAAACACACGTATGTATGTATGAAGAGAGAGAGAGAGAGAGAGAGAGAGAGAGAGAGAGAGAGAGAGAGAGAGAGAGAGAGAGAGAGAGAGAGAGAGTATTGTGTATTTGTGAGTGTGTATTTTTCCTATTTCTTACTGCCCATTTCCCTGAGATCAAATCTAATTTCTGTGATACTAATACCATCATCTCTTGGTGCAAATCCTACCTGACCATAAATATATCACCTAATCCAAATTCCACATCACAAAAGGCATACAGACTTGTGACTGCACAACTCCTAGCAACATAAGATCTAAAGTGGACAGAATACAAGTAGCAATAAGCAATAGCACTTAGACTTATGTACCACTTCACAGAGCTTTACAGCTCTTTCTAAGCAATTTACAGAGTCAGCATATTACCCCCAACAATCTGGGTCCTCATTTTACCAACCTTGGAAGGATGGAAGGCTGAGTCAACCTTGAGCCAGGCAGGATCAAACCCCTGGGAATCAGCAGAATTAGCCTAAACTATTGCATTCTAACTACTGCGCCACCATGGTTCTTTAGTAATCCTCAACTTCTGACCACAAATGAGCCCAAAATTTCCATTGCTATGCAAGTCTGTTATTAAGTGAGTTTTGCCCCATAAGTGTGAAAAACAGTCATAAATAACTTTTTTTTCAGTGCTGTTGCAATGTTGAACAGTCACTAAATGAATGGTTCTAACAATTACTTGTAATCTTTTTTCATTTTCTATTATTACTTTTTCTCTTCCTGACATATGTTACTCTTATTCTATTATCCTTTCCCTTTCCCTGCCAGCTCCCTGGACAAAGAGAGACATGGAGAGATGGAGTTTTGATTTTGCTGAGGTTTAAACTGCTTATTTAAAACTATGTTGTAAAAGTCCTAGAACTGAATGTTTCCTAATTTTAAATATGTTTAGAATTGCAGCACAAGTTACAACAAAATAGATAGAAAGGTTGCCAGAAAAAAGTGAGTAATTTTGCTTACTCACTGTAACCAATTTACCAATGTAAATTGGTTACAGATAACATTGGGTTTAGTATTTTTCTGTCACTTTTATTGTCCCACACCTTTTACTGTTGTGTTACTGTTGTCCTTTGAAGTATATTATTGATCCCTTTATTGGTAACATATGTTATTTTTCCTATTTTTAAAATATTTTATAAAGTCATTTATATTTTTTAATAGAAGCATAAATCCATCGATATTATCTAAGCCTATGAAAGGAAGGTGGGATAAAGGTGAATTTAAAAGAAAAATGTGATCATACTATAATAGTTTTAAGTAGTGATAAATATCCATTCTTTAATATTTATCTGTTAATCCAGACATTCCTGTAATAGATTCCTAAAACAATAATGCAGTTTATATTGCAGAGATTTGTAGCAGATTGTAATCAATCATCCTTTCATATTTTCAGGAAATAAGAGCATAATATGTCAATCTCTAGGAAGAGGGGCAGATAAATTCCTTAAAGTAACAAAGAGATGAAATAAAACTTATTTACTTACTTACTTACTTACTTACTTACTTACTTACTTCTTAGTTACTTACTTACTTATTTTTAGTTGATTTAATATTACTGCACATGTCACAGACATGACTTTGGGCAGCTTGTAATAAAAATAGAAACTAAATAAAATACATACAGTACAAAAAATAAAAGCACATAGCAGCTCAAACAGCAGAACAATCTCCAGGTCTCTTTACAACTAGATTAGGCCTATTAGTTGCTGAGGGTAGATCAAGATAGCAAATCTAGTCTCTGGGATGGAGGGTGGTGACAGAGAACTGCTGGATTACCAGAGAGTGATCTGACCATGACAGGGGAGAAGTTTTCAGCTCCCCAAGTCCAGAACTTCAGTTCAGAACTTCTTGCTACTGTTCTGACATATAAATCAGGTCAAACATATGACCACTATTATGCATTGAGCCCTGTATGACTTGGGATAGGTTTATGGCTGTCATGGTAGCCATCTCCAATTCCACATCCTGAGAAGGAATAGTTCATAAGTCTGGAAATTTCCATTGCCAGTCTATCCACAGAATCAAGCAGCTCAGACAGAAAGATTGCTACATACAAGGAGGCTGACATATTTGGCACAATAACAACAGTATCAATTGAACTCTAGAACACTTTTTAAATTAGCTAAGGGAGAGCTTGAAAAATGGATGGTATATAAATTTTAGTAAGTAAATAAATGGCACTTGAACTGGCAAATTTCAATCAAGATTCATGTTTTCTTTTATATTGCTCCCCAATTCAGATATTATTCTTCATAAAATCAACCATGATATTGCCAATAGGCTAAAAAGTTTAAATTGTATTAATAGCCAGCAAAAATTTACACTTCTCATCACTTATGTTCTTTTCTTGCCTGTGAAAGCATCTTGTCACACGTTATCATTAATACTCCATTAAATTTGTCTTGCCATTTTGAAAATATACACAATGCAGAATACTGAACTGTGCATATGTAAATCTCTGTATTTTGCAATGAAGTTTTCTAACTGATTGTGTTTCATTAATCAATCTTATTAAGGTTATTTAGACAACTGTTGTGAGGTGCAAGCATTTTATCAATATTATTACAGAGTAATCATGTTTAAGTGATTAATATACTTATGTGTTTGATGCATTACAAAAAGTTAGACAGCAGGAGCATGCAAGGCATTTGAAAGAGACGGTTTTCAAAGCACCTAGCTTGAATGAATATTTCTCTAAAGCATTAAAGCAGTAGAAGTAGTCCTCAACTTACAACAGTTCATTTAGTGACCATTCAAAGTTACAACAGCACTGAAAAAAGTGACCATTTTTCACTTTACGACATTATAGTATCCCCATAGTCATATGATCAAAATTTGGATGCTTGGTGACTGACTCATATTTATGATGGTTGCAGTGTCCAAGATCATGTGTTCACCTTCTGTGACCTTCTGACAAACAAAGTCAATGGGGGAAGCTAGACTCACTTAACAACCTGTTATTAATTTAACAACTGTAATGATTCACTTAACCACTGTGGCATAAAAGGTCATAAAATGGGGAAAATTCACTTAACAAATGTTTCACTTAGTAACAAAAATTTTGGGTTCAATTGTGCCGTAAGTCGAGGACCACCTTTAATATATTTCATAAAATCTGTGTGCTGTAGAAGGTTATCTATAAGTATGAGGGCACAGAATTTCAGCTCAGATTTTCAGGGGAGCAGTGTCTGTGAATACACACACAATTGGAAACATAAGAGAACAATTTTGAAAGCATCTGAGTAAACTTTCTGAAGAATGCAGTTGCTATAATGCTTTAAAAGCCATGCTTCCTTTATATCAAAGCCCTTTGCAAAGGATCTCTTTCAAATTCTTTACACAACCCTGTAAAAAGATGTGTGTACAACTGTTTACAGCATAGCTGTGCAAAACATTCTGAACTTGAAGCAATAATCCAAGTTTTCTAAATCTGGCATAAACACTCATTCCAAAATTCTAACCTGAACTCAGAAGTAATAGAGATGCCCTTTCATGTTTTTTCCATTATTTTTATGTTTCATGACTGGTTAGGGTTTTGTTGGCTTTAACACTCCACATCACTGAGATTTAGAGTGCATTTCCAATATAAATATAAATTATAAATAAATAAAAGGGGATTATTATCTGGAAGTTTCACTTTTGTTGTCTCTGGCAGAGTTCAAGGCAGTTGTAGGGTAGGGTGTGAGAAAATCAGTAAAGCATGTACACTGAATGTGACAAATGGATACCAAAAATATGTTTTACTATTGAGTATTGCAGCATGGAAAGAGACAATAATTTGCACAGCAAGAAGCTACAAGATAAAAGCGGAACATCGTATTTTTACTGTTGCTGTACCATAATATGGCTTGCACTGTATTGAATTTGTCACTGTTGCTTCTTCCCAAAATTTTCTATGGTACAACCATTGGGAATTAGGATTTAAAAACTCACTGGACAATATTGTACTGAACATATATAACATTCAGCACAACTACTATTCCACCTGCTTTCGTGGACATTGAGGTAACAGGGACCATATTAATAAATATTGAACTTTGCAACATTTCCTGGGTTGAAACACTTGACATACATTTGAGTTTTGTTCCATTGATACACAAGATATTCACAATGTTCACACAGAGGGCTGTTTCGTTTTTCATTCAGAAAAAAACCAAAAGTTATGCTTTGCTTTCTCTCTAAAGTTCAACAGAGAAAGAAAAGAAATAAAAGGGAAGCTCAATTTATTTTAGTTAAACATATTTAAATAGGCAGTTCCAAGCATATCCAGAAACCAGTGAGATAAGGTGATGTTTAAACTGAAGGTGAAAAAAACTATAGGAATGAAGTTTCTGGGCAATTATAAAAAACAAATGATGGAAGAAAATCTTATGTGAAGGGATCACAATATTACTAGTAACGCTCCAGTCAATGGTGGGTTTCAAAATTTTTTACTACCGGTTCTATGGGTGTGGCTTGGTGGGCATGGCATGGCTTGGTGGGCATGGCTTGGTGGACATGGCTTTCCCATTGACGTTGCTTGTCAGAAAGTCGCAAAAGACCATCACACGAACCTGGAACACTGCCAGCCGTCATAAATTTGAGTCAGTTACCAAGTCTCTCAATTTTGATCACATGACCATGGGGATGCTGCA